TGGGCCCTCCGTGTGTGCTGTTTCAAAGACCCCCCCCACCCTGCAAAATCACTCCCCGGGACCCCCCCGTGAGGTTGATATTTGAGACTTTGCGGCGTGAAATGCCTCTTCTGCACTCCTCTTCCTCCTCATGCTCTGTACCAGCGGCCACCTGGAGACCCCTGAAGCCCATCGACGGCGAAGAAGCCGGAAGTCAAAAACTATCGTGTTGATGTCGAACTCCTGGTGGCGCCAGAGATGCTTCTTGGGAGCCTTTTGGGAGCCGCTTGGAGCCGCCAGGGGGCATTCGGTGCGCTATGTTTTTTGTTGTTGCCCTCGGCGCATCGATGCAGATCGGGAAAACGTACATGCGGATGAGGCTCAGAGCACCGCAGAGGCCTCCGTGGAAAAGCAAATGCTGATCCACGGTAGGGAACTGCAGAACTACGGTGGTGATGCTTCGCTGGCCATTCGGGGCGGTCAGAACAAACCGGAAGAAAATGGGGGACTCCCATGATTAAGCAGCGCCAGGCTGCCTGCTGCCTCAGACACATCTTAGCTCAACACCAGCTTTGTGTGGGGAGGAGTGGCCAGGGCAGCGCGACGAAATGCCTGCACGACTAACAAAAACAGCGGGCACGGGGCGCAAAGGCAGGCGGACAGGCGGCCTGGCGCACCGCAGCTTCACTGGCTCCTGTAGGGCGCTCAGTAGCCGAAAGCTTTGGTGGTGGCATCCAAGCACGCCATATAGTCCTCGGGCTTCATCAGCGGGTGATACGCCGGGAAGTTCTCGCCGTCGCACGTGGGCTTCCACTTCTTGTTCTTCTTCTCGGCGGTGGGCCGGTCCGCCTCGCAAGTTCCGTCCAGCTTGGTGCCGAACGCCTCTCCACGGGAGACGCCGTTCGTATCCAAGCAAACCTGCGCAAATAGATCCTCACCCATGGGGCCGTACTTGCCTCCATCAATGCCCGTTTTCCAATCGACGGTGTCCTTGCACGAGGCCATCGACCCCAGGAGCGTCTCGAAGGCCACCGCCGAGAAGATCTCCAAGCTGCCGAACCACCCGTACTTCACGCCTTTGCAATTCTCGAGGTAGAGGCCGTTGGCCGGGACCACCTTGCTAGAGAGGTAAGACACCAAACGGCTCGGCACGAACACCGCGTCTGCATCGACCTTCACGACCCAATTGGTTGAAATAGTTGACGAACGTGGCCGTCGAGGTGACCACGTTCAGGAACACGGCCACCTAGGAGGAGGCCGCGGTGTCCCAGAGGAGGAGGGAGGGGAGGTGGATGATGAACGGGTCCCCCTCCCTGTACCTGATCTCCCGGATCCCCGGTCGACTTGGACGCCCCAGCTGAGAATGGCGGCGTCTGCTGCTTGCCTTGACGAGAGGCCCGTAGGCCAAAACAGTCGGTTCTGCAATGGATCGCGCGGGCGGGCTGTGGGCCTCGCCTCACGCAGGCGTGGGTGCTGGCACTCCCACGCGATATGGTGCAGCGTTCCTGCCTCCTGTCGGCCCATGGGCAGGATGGGTCCTGCGCTGGGGCGCTGGCATGGAGGTGCGCCGGCGACACGATGGCCCCTCCCATCACTCTGGAGGTGGGGGCCCGGCCGGGTCTTCATGTGCTCGAAGACGGCCTTGTACCGCTTCGGGTCGTAGCCTATGCCCTGGCAGAGAGTGCTGTCGCGTCGACCCGCCCGCTGCCATTCTGCGTACCGAGTGTAGCGCCACGCCTCCCGGAGGCTGTGCGCGAGGCGGCCTGGGCTCTTCCAGTCCGGCTGCCGCCTGTCCAAGCTGAACCTGTCCTCTGTGCCGGCGTGGCGCCAGGTCCAGGGCAGGGCAGGGTCGTGCTCCCATCCGGTCCACGCTAGGTGCCGGTGGAGGTTCTTTGCCAGGCCGCGCTTCGTGCAGTCCCAGGTGAGGCGCATCGTGAAGTCGGCGTGCGGGTCTCTGCCCTTGTGCTGCACGCGCGCCAACGAGGTGATGGCCGCTTGCTGGATTCTGTACCTGACATCGACCCTGTGGCCGAGGAGGGCGCGCCGGGTTCGCCTGGTGTTGCGGACCAGACCAGGGACTGGAATGCCTGCGTGTCCCTCTTGGATCACGCTGATCGGCCCGGCCGTGGCCACGGCGAGCTTCCCGGCCAGGGAATGCGGGAGCCGCTGGACGGCGCGTGTCGCTCGATCTTCTTGGACGTGCACCGGGCTGCGCCTCCGGTGACTTTCATGCCGAGGATGCAGGCCGTGTCGCTGATGGTCTCCGTTGGCACCCCCGCCGCGGCCAGCGCCTTGCGCCCCCTGCCGGTGGTGTGGAACCACTGCTGCTTGGCGTCGTTCTCTGCCAGTCCGAGGTCCGCGCTCCAGCTGTTCCAGATGGCACCCGCTCTGAGCATTGAGGGGATGCTGCGGGACTGCCACGTCCTGTCGTCCACGTAGAGCTGCGTGGATACGTCCCTGCACTCGTGCTTCACTTCTTTCAGCGGCGCCATGAGGACGCACCCCATTGCCACGGGGCTGAACGGGTCTCCCTGCGGCAGGCTGGTGGACACGGTCTGCGGCTGCTCGTGCACGCAACCACCGTAGCACATGAAACGCCGTTGTCGGGTCCAGTGCGTGCGCAGGAGGTGTACCAAGTTGCCCGGCATGCCGACTACGTCGAATGCCTCTGCCGCCACGTCCGGGTGGCACATGTCGAAGGCCAGGCTGTAGTCCCAGCTCGTGCAGTACTCGTTGCAGTTGGTGTTGGTTGCTGCCATCACCACCGCCTCGGCTGCCTCCCTGTGGCGGCGTGCGCCCACCATGTCGTTGCCCCACCAGTCGCTGAGCCAAGCGGAACAACATTCGGATTTGAACCGCGCGGTAGCCCACGTTCTGTGCCAGGCGCTCGAAACGCTGATCGGGCGGAACTTGTCGTCGGGCAGCGCCCCCGGAGTCTCCTCGCTCGGGAATTCCTTGGGCAGGTGCGTTTGCCTCATGTCCGCCCACTGCGTTGGCAGGCAGGCCATGGCCTCGAACTCCGCCGTGAGGTGAGCGAACGTCGCTGCAGTGAACAGAGCGGAAGCCACCTCCTTCCCTCGCCAGCCGTCTGGGCCAGCGCTGGTGCCGGCCTGCGCACGCATGGCTGCATTGAGTTCCTGCTCGTCCAGCGGGTACCACCTGCGAGGGGCGTGGTGCGGTAACCACCGTCGTAGCCTGGGGCGCCACCGGTCGGCTGGTGGAGTCGGGCGGTCCCACACTTTTCTCCATCGCCGGACCAGGAAGTCGAGAGCCTCCTTGGTGGTGCGCGACTGCACGTTGTTCTGGAGAACAGCCAGCCCCTTCGGATGTCTCGGCTGCAGAGAGGCGTGGGCCGCCTTGCTGCTACCCGTGAGCCGTGCCCTCCAACCCCGGATTCTGTCGTTCCGGTCACTCTTCTCGATGGCCTCGAGCGTGCCTTCGTACTCCCGGACCCGCGTCTCGAGGAGCGCCGTCCTGGTGAGCAGGGAGCTCTCGTAGCCGCCAACGTACTCGCGGCTGTCGGTGGCCCTGTCGAGCTTGACCCGGAGAGCGTGGCTCTCGCTCCCGCTGCCGTGCCCATGCTGTTCCAGCCACAGCAGCCGGCGCAACCTGCCGAGCGTGGTGCTGCACCGCCGCGCCTTGTAGCTGCTGGCCACCATCGCCTGGCTGCAGCGCGCGCGCCGGGTGGCCATGCCTGTCTGTCCCTTGGGGAGCTCTCCCTTGGCCGGGGTGGCCCTTGCAGTGGTGGCCTTCTTGGGCCCCTGCCAGACGTGCTGGATCTCCTGCCCCCAGGGGTCTGCGGCAACCCAGGGGGCGGCGCCCTCGGTGCTGTCGTCAGGCGCCGTGCCGTCCTCCAGCACTCTCTCGGCGGCCTCGAGCAGCGTGCATTCTACCGCGGCCTGAAAGTCGCCCCAGAGCTTGTCCACCCACTGCTGCGCCTGGGGGGACCCCGGCTCGTGCGGGCAGCGCCTGCGGAGGTCGCGTTCCTCGTCCGCTGCGGGGGCGCCGCCGCGCCCCTCCCACAGGGCCCGGCAGACGTCCATCCAAGTCTCCATGGGGACCGAGGCCGGCCTTGCCAGGTCGCGGCGCTGCTGGAGCCGCGTTTCGTCCACGAGCTCATCCCTCGTCTCGAACTGCATGGAGACCACGAAATGGTCCGAGGCCTCAAAGGGGACGATGTGATGGTTGTGGCCATTTACGCCGAAAGAGATCCCGAAGTCGATGCATCTGGCGCCCCCCTTCCTGGTAGGGATGTCGCTGCCGTTCGCTGTGGCTTTCTCGAAAGTGTACCAGGGCGAGGCCACAGGCACCTCCGCCGGCAGGGCGTTCCAGTCGCCGATTACAAGTGCCCTCTGGATCCTGTCGGTCTGGAGGCTGTCAATGAAAGAGTCCATGATGGTGTGGAGTGCTCCCTGTTTGCTTGGCTGCCGGTACACATTGAAGATCACCAGATCAGCGGCCTGCACCACGAGCATCTGGGCGTCCTCCCCGGTCAGGCGCCAGAGATAACGACATGCTCTCTTCCTGCGGATCAGCGTGACGAGCCCGCCGCCCTGCCGGTCGTCACAGCGCTCGCACCCCGCAGCGTGGTAGGACTGGTAGCCCCGGGACCAGAAGCGGTTGTGGAACGAAGTGAACTCCTTGGCGGTGAGCCCGACCTCCTGGAGGCACACCACGTCGATGTCCTGGGAAGCTGCTTCTTCGGCGACTCTCCACAGGGCTGTGCCATTGACGTTGCAAGTCCAGAGTGCCAGCTGGGCGGGCGAGCAGCTCGCCCCGCCCCGCACAGACGGATGATGCCGAGCGACGGCCCTTCTTTCCTTCCCAAGAGGGGGAGGGGGAGGGGGCGGAGGAGGAGGAGAGGGAGGAGGGACAGAAGGGGGAGGGGCAGAGGGAGGGGACGAAGGGGGAGGGGCAAAGGGAGAGGGGGCCAGGGGGAGGAGGACAGGGGAGGGAAGCAGAGGAGGGAAGGGAGGACCGCCCCCCGGCACCGCCCGTCAAGAGGCGGCACTTTCTTCCACCTGCGCCGCCGGGCGCTTGAGAATCTTCCTGGGCGTCGCGCCTATGGCAGCAGCAGCCCGGCGGCGGTCCTTGAGCGTCTTCCGGTAGGCCGCGACGGCTGCCGGGTCCCTCCAGTATAGCCGCTTCTGCGTCCTCTGCTGGAACACGTTCTGAGGGAGCGGCTCCAGGCCTGCCTCTCTGCGTGCACGCTGTTCCGCCTTGCTGGCCCTCACGGTCTGGGCACGTTGCTGCCTCTGCTCCGCGTGTTCCTTCACATGATGGGCCCGCACGGACTTGGTGAGCTGGTGGCCCTGCACGTGCGCCGGCCAGGTCTTCTCGCAGTACCTGCACTTGGTGGCGGCGTAAGCCTCGGGGATGGGCCCCACAGGCAGCTGCAGGAGCGCCCTCCACTCTTCCGCCGTCTTCGGCTCCACCGCCTCGGTCGCGGGCTTGAGCGAGAGCGGTGCCTTGTCCACACCAGGGTGGCACTTATTCAGGTGTGCCTGACGCCGCTTGTACAGCAGCCTCTGGACGCCACCGATCGGGTTCTTGGGTGCACCTCCGGCCCTGAGTTGGGCATCGCAGGACCAATGTACCCCTTGTGCTGCACACAGCGGGCATGACCACGAGGTCGTGCTGCCCCGTGCCAGGTACTGCTGTCGTGCCTGGCGTGCTCCGTACTTTTTGGGAGCGGGCCACGCGACGGCTTCCTCGTCGCTGTCCACATCGCCCACGCGCGCCACATCGGTCGCCGTCGAACCGCGCGGGTTGAGGCTGTCTGCTGGTGGCTGGGTCGTGGGAGCACTCCGCGCCTGTCGGCGGCGTCTCTCTGTGCCTGGGTAAGGCGGCGGCGGGGGCGGGGGCTGCTTCCCCTGGAGCCTCGTCCGCGCGCTGCCGCTGGTCGCGGTGCCTGCGCCGCTCCTGCACCAGCTCCCCAGCGAAGGTGCCGGGCGGGGCGAGCGAGCCTTGCCTGCGCCGGCGTCCTCGCCTGTCGCGGGCTGCCCCGCCAGCTGTGGTGAGCTCGCAGGCGTCGCCGGCCCGTGGCGCTGCCCTCGCGCTGCTGTCCCCCTGCTGGGGCCTCGGCTGGAGTCGCCGTCTCCCGTCGTCGCTGAGACCCTGCACCAGTCGTCCAGGTCGCTGTGCCCGTCGGCTGCACCGGCGCGGAGCTGGCTCGAAGGAACCTCCTCCTCCGGCGGCTCGGCCCATTCCTTCGGCCAGTCCTTCTCGCCCTGGTTGAGGTGGAGGGTGAAGTAGTGCTGGTCCCTGAGGCAGACCGGCACCGGCGGGCGCGAGAGAGCCTTCCTCCTGCGCCTTTCCAGGACGGGGTCGTTCGTGTCTGCAGGCGGGTTGAAAGTCCAGCCTTTCACCCATTTGCCACCGTGCCAGTAGAAGGCGACGATGGTGCGTTCGAGGCGGAGGGCGAGCGCCGCGGCGGCGTACTCATCCACCCAGCGGTTCTGCCTCGCGCAGGCCGTGACCCAAGTCTCCCAGCTGGTAGGTACTGGGCCGTCTTCCAGAGTCTGGTTGGTCGAGGGGTCCTGCACCCAGGCGGCCTCCCAGAGCCGGTGCTTCCTGATCAGGCCGACGGACTCGGCCCGCAGCTTCGCCGCCAGCCCCACGATGTTCCGCTGGACGTCCTCGCGGGTCCGCTCCTTGCCGCTAGTGCCCTTTTCGTTGATCGCCGTGGCTGCGCCCACCGCGCGGTAGAAGCAGTCCCCGGTGCCTCCGAGGTCCCACGTGTTGTGGTCCAGCGCACGCTGCGGCACGCTCTCCCCCTTGGCCTTCTTGCTGCCTGGGCCGCCCGTGGGGGCCCTGGCTTTGGACTCGGTCTTAGGAGCCTCCTCCTGTCCCGCGTCGGTCTCCATTTTGCTGCCTTCGCCGCTGACTCCCTCCTCGGCCGGTGCTGCCGCCTCGCCGGAGCCACCTTTCCAGGGTTCTGCACGCGCACGCCTGTCGTCCGCGTCCTTGCCGAGCTTCACGAGGTCCTGTCTGACGGCCCCTGGGCGGGCAGACAGCGGTTTAGCCTCCATGCCTGGTTGTCGCCGTACCTCTCGGCACACTCACGACCCAATTGGCGCTTTTGTACACGCCGGCTTCCCCAATTGCCTTCCAAGCCTGGTAATGCAAGCCCGTATTCAGCCAGGTGCCGGTCTCCTCTCTCTTCGCGAAATGGAAATCCCCGTCGGCATCCTCCAGCTTCACGAGCGGAGCGCCAGGCCCGACCTCCCCCTCCTTGTCGCTGAATACTCCCCAATTCTCGCACCCGAAGATGCTGGTCTTCCTGCCGTATGCTCCCTGGAGCAGCTCCAAGTCGTACATCTTCTTCGTGCTGCCGATGTCCTGCATGACCACTGCGAAGCAGTACAATGACGGGCCGTACCAGTCGGCATCCTTGAGGATCGGGTCCATGATCGGCTGCGTCTGAACGCACAGCTGGGAGGCGCTGGGAGTGCAATTCTTTAGGCACTTGCCCTTCCCCGGCTTGGTCTCGAAGCAGTTCAGGCCCGCAACGTTGCAGCACCCCAGGCTGTAGCAGTCGTCGTCCGTGCTGGCGCACTTGTCGCGCGGCGGCAAGGCTACCGTCTGCACCTTGCTCTGGAGGCGGTCCGTGTCCGAGGCCGCCCCGTGCAGCGCCAACCGCGCTGCCCCCGCGCCTGCGCCGGCCAGGAGCAGGGCGGCCACGCCTGCACCACCCGCCGCCCGCCAGGGCGAACGCCGGGTGCGAGCGTCCTGAACCAAGAACTGCTCCGACCCGCTCGCCTCGCCGCTGACCTCCGCGAGCTCAATGCGCTCCGTGGCCGAGGTCATTGGTGGAAGGGTGGGATGTGGCTGGGAGTGCTCGCAGATCAGGCCTGCTGCAGACAGCGCTTGAGCCAAAATGGCTACGGAGGGGGCATTCAGTGCGCTATTGGGGCGTCTTGGGGGCTATGTTGGGCTGTCTGAGGCTGGCTGCCTGGGGCCCGCTGGCAATCTTGAAGCTCCCTGGGGGCCATCTTGTGGCCGTCTTGGGCGCCTCTTGGGCCATCTTGGGGCTCTAGGGAGCCTTGGGACTCTCATGTGGGCCTCTTGGGCCGTCCTGGGGCGAATTGGCGGGCCGTTTGGACCGTCGAGGACGCAGTGGAAGCCCAAAAGTCGTACATGCTGAAAGCGCACGTCTTCCTCAAATAATAAAACGATGTCGGCTTCTTGGGGCCCTCTGGGGGGGCCTCATGGAGCCTTCTTTGGGCGTCTTGGTAGGCTCCTGGGTCTTCTTGAGGCCATCTTGGCGAGTCTTGGAGCGCTCGCGGGGCGTACGGGGCGGCCTCGAGCCGGTCCTGGAGGCCTCTGGAGCCGGCTGAATCCTCAGGGCCCCGCCCGGGAGCCCTTGGGCCGCCTGGGGCCCCAATGCCACGGCATGGCCGTGGTTCCTGGCCAGCCCCTGGCCTGCTCCGACACACACACACACACACACACACACACACACACACGTGTATACCTATGTATCTATGTATAGGTGTAAGACACATATGCATCAAACTATGTTTGTAAGACTCCGTATATGCTTGCATGCATGCAGGCATGCATACAGATATGCATGCATTCAAACATACATGCATGCACACATATAATCATGCATTCATACATACACGCACATGCAGACAGACATCCATACATACAAACATACCTTTCGACCTACCTATACACCTACCTATCTGCCTACCGACCAGCCTACCTACATACATACATGCATGCAGTCATGCATACATACACGCATACATGCATAAGGACATACACACGTACGTGCATACGCTCATAGGTGCATACGGACATACGTACATATATACATGCATCCATGCATGCATGCATACCTCCATGTATACATACATGCATACATGCATGCATGCGTACCTTCATACATGCATACATACATACATACATACATACATACATGCATGCATGCATACATACATACATACGTGCATACATACATACACATATACAGACAGACAGACAGACAGACAGACAGACAGACAGACAGACAGACAGACAGACAGACAGACAGGCAGGCAGACAGACAGAAAGACAGACAGACAAACACACAGACAGACAGACAGACACAGACGGACAGACAGACAGACATACCTTACATCCGTGCAGGCATACCTACATTCATACATACAGACATACAAGCATACATACAGACGTACATACAGACAGAAAGACAGACAGACCGACAGACAGACAGACACGCATGCATGTAGACATGCATTTATGCATCCATAAATACGCACATGTCTTCAGACTTCCATGCGTGTATAGATTTGTAGCGGCCACAATGCGCACATAAGTTGCCAGCAGCAGTAACAACAGCCACCCGTAGAGGGGACTTACCCCGATCGGTGATCCGCCGCCGAAGCGCTCCAGCCGGCGACGAGGAGCAGGACGGCTGTGCGACACAGGTGCAGGGCTGGAGCAGGGGTACGCGCGAGATACGAAGGGAGGGACGGGCGCGGGGGGCCAGCGAGCAGTGACTTGGGGCATGGATTGAAGCAGAGACTGAGGCTAAGGCTGAAGCGGCTCGGGGCCGACGCAGGGGCCGAAGCTCAACGGGTGACGCGACATGAGCTCGGCCAGGAAACAAGCCCCTGAAGCCGGGGACATCTCGATGGAAGCTCAGGGGTCCGGACGACCAGGGGCCCGCTCGCAGCTCGAGCACCGAGAGATCCCCGGCAGAACACAGATGGTGTTCCCGCAGGGGCTCCCCTCTGCCCAGGCGGCCGATGCTTCATCCATCCCCCGCTCGCGCTGGGACTCTGCGAGAGAGGGCGGAGTGGGGGCAACACTGAAAGCAGCAAGGCCTCTGGATGCCGACCTGTCGGTCCGGGACCTGACACCCCCCAGCTGCGCAAAACGAGGGGGCGGCTAGCAGCAGGGGTCCAGGCCGGAGCCCGATCCAGACCCCCGTTGCCGGATCGAAGGTCTGGGTGGAAGCTCTGGGTCGAAGGTCTGGATCGAAGCTCGACCTCGACGTTCGATCAAATCGAGCGCCGAGCGCCGACCCCCACGTCGAGGGCCGAAGCGTCGGCATGCAGCGGGCTCGGCGACCGGGCCGCGGCCTGCACCCCGTGCACGCGCCGGAAGACGTGCAGTATGTCCCTGGAGACGCGCCGCGTTTTGATTCTCCACGGGGTATGCAACGCTGTCGTTCGCCTGCTGATGTAGTGAGGCCTCCAACTGTTCCCCCTCGATGAGAAGGCAGCAGGAAAAGCATGGAGCTCCTCTGGCTCTCCAACCTCCCGTTCAAACCTGCCTACTCTGCTGGTGAAAAAAAACATCCTTCGTACAAGACGCCCCTCCACCTGCTGCTAGACGATGCCCCTCTGCAAACGTCCTCGAAGCGCCCAGATGCGTCGAGGGTTTTGGCAGGTCTGGGGAAGGCTAACCCTCCAAAAAGCCCGCCTGAGGGTGTTTTTGAATAGTCCGGGGGGGATCCCCTCAACCTCCCAACAACCTTCCTGAGAAAGGTTTTGGTAGGGGTCCGGGGGGGGAACCCCCCGTCCACCTCGTAGAACCCCCTGAAGGGGGGTTCTAAAGGGTCCTGGAGGGAAAACACACAAAAACCTCCCTGAGGGAGACGCGTTTTTGGAGTAGTCGGGGTGGGGAAAACCCCCCTCCACCCTCAAAAACCTTGTGAGGGGGGTCGGGATAACCCCGCTGAACCCACCACAAACCTTCCGGGAGGGAAACGTCCCTAAACCCATCCCAAGAAACCATGAGGTGGTTGATGTTTTTTGGGGGGTCCAAGGGGGGGGGGAACTCAGCCCCCCCCAAAAAGAAACCTGAGAGGGGATTATGGGGGGATCTGGGAGGGGACCCCCCCCAAACGCCCCTCCATCAAAGGGAGTTGCGGAGCTTGCTTCCATGGGAAGTTTGAACTGCCGCTCCCTACCTCTCGGCGACAGCCGAAGGTCCTGTGCACACTACGGCACCTGTCCTCCAACCAAGCGCGCATCTACAGCTGGATGCGGCATTCTGGAGGCCTCATAGATGGGGTTCGAGCAGATGTGGTCGGAGGACCGATGCATCGGCGATGCGGCGCGATCCTCCGACCCCATCTGCTCGGACCACATCTGAGAGGCTTAGAGTTTTGATTGTCCTCGGGGTATGCAGCGCTATCATTCGCCAGCTGATGGGAATCAGACTCCTGCGGGTCAGAGTCAGCGAAGATCCAGAGAGAGAGAGAGAGAGAGAACGGGAGAGAGAGAGAGAGAGAGAGAACAAACAAAACAACCTGCGCGCCAACGGTGCAGCGAAGGGGGCACGAAGGAAAAACGTGTTTCCCGACAAGTCCTAGCCCAGGCGAAGAGGCTCTACAGGAACCACTCGGAGCATTTCGGGGACAAACTGCGACCCCGAACAAGGAGAATTCAAGGCACGAAGCGCACCGTTCCTGACCTCCAACAGGCCGGCTCCCAACCGGCAGGCGGAGGACGCTCGCTGCCCCGTGCCTGGCCAGCCTCCGCTCAGGCTGTGGAGCCCCCCGTCGTTAGGAGGCGATTCCCGGGAGGTCTTCGTCGGAGCGGCCCATCGCCGAGGCCTCTCCCCGAACGTGCTCCAACCTCCCCCCCCAAAAAAGGGCGGCCGAGCTAAAACGCAGAAGCCGAAGAGAAGGGCACGCGCGGCGTGGAGCAAGTCCACCCCATGCTCCCTCCATGCCGCGCGCGAGAACCCGCTGCTGCAAGCGCTGGGATGCAAGGCGCTTCGCGGCCTGGCCCACAACATGGCGTACCAGGGCAGCGCGCGGCGTAGCCCAACACTGAAACTGCGATACAAAAGCAGGGCACGGCACCATTGTCCAGCACGCCGCAACGGCACACAATACAGCTGACACAGGCGCAGCAGTGCACAGCATTGCGCGCAGTAGCCTCAACCAGCAGGCTGGACCATATTCCCGCATCCAGGTGCGTCGCGACGAGAATAATCGCACGGCATGGCCAGGCTGGAAACGCGATCGGGGATGGGGCTCGTCCCAGATTGTCCGTTCCAAGAAGAACCCGGATGCTCGGGGAACGGGCGAATTGCCACGCGGGGGAAGCGCCACTGAACTCGCCAGAACAACTCGTCACGAACAGCAAACCAAGAGGTCGGCCACCAAGACTGCCACAAAACTGCGCCGCAGATTTGCGCCACGCATGCTGCGACAGCACTCGGTCAACCAGACTGCCGCGCAAGTGCGGCGCAAGGCGGAGCTTCCTCGACCTTCGCCGCGTGCCTGCCCGCACGGGGAGAGCCCTCGTGCGGCCCTTTCCGAGGAGCCTTCCGCGGCGCCTCGTAAGGCGAGGGCCGCCTGGCCTTTCTTCCCTCTCTGTCACGCGATTGGGGGCGCAAGTTGGGGTCCTTTTCCGGCGTACAGGGCAGTTTTTTGTACGTTGGAGTTTTTTAACTGGATGTTGAATGAATGACTTATTTACGAACAAATCTGTGCATGAACTCACCGTTGTTTTCAATACGGAATCCCTGCATTTTTATGCAATCTTGAACGGACACCCCTCCCAGGGCGTGGGTCCCAAGAGACTCGGAACGGCGTCAGCCTAACGGAAAAAGACAGCGGGCGTGACGAGGACTTTCATTTCTTTTTACAAGCGCCGGAGCTCAGGCCCACGCCTGAGTGCACTTGCGATGGCGGCTGACGGCAGAGCTGAAACACTGAGAGCCCCTGGCCCACAAGGCCGAGGGGGCTCGAGAAATCTGACAGTCTGGCCAGACCATTAATCAAACCCGAATTCGCAGAAGTCCAAGCTACTGAGCCTCTCCTCCAGCGTTTCCCAGGGTGGGAAGGGCGGGACGGCAGAAAGGCTTGAGGGGAAGAGGCAGCGGGAGGGGAGAAAGCGAATGCACAAGCGATGAGACCAAATGCAATGCAATCTTGAACGGACACCCCTCCCAGGGCGTGGGCCCCAAGAGACTCGGAACGGCGTCAGCCTAACGGAAAAAGACAGCGGGCGTGACGAGGACTTTCATTTCTTTTTACAGGCGCCGGAGCTCAGGCCCACGCCTGAGTGCACTTGCGATGGCGGCTGACGGCAGAGCTGAAACACTGAGAGCCCCTGGCCCACAAGGCCGAGGGGGCTCGAGAAATCTGACAGTCTGGCCAGACCATTAATCAAACCCATATCAAACGCTGGAGTAAATCCCATATCGACTCCATTGGCATGCCGAGGGAAAACTGCAGCAGGCTGAGCGCCGAGAGGCACACTACGAGAGGAAGGACAACTGCAAGGCCTCCGCACGCTTAGCCTCTGCCTTCACAGCGGCCGAGAGGCGTCTGAAGGATGCAAGTGCACGGCCGCTCTTCTGATAGCGCTGTACAGAACGGAAGCTCGACCACCTGCCACGAGACTGAATGTCGGCCAGCGAGCGGGCGCCTCTCAAGTAGTCCTCCGACGGACCGCCGTGCCGAGGGAGGTGGGCTGTCACCTTGGTCGGGAGGCCGACGGCGACGGCGGCTCTCTTGAGCAAGCGGTTGTACGAAGCGTACGAGTGGAGAAACATGAGGCGCCCTTGGCGGGCCTGGTTGGCGCTCTTGACGAGGGCCATGAGCGCGCCAGCCACACCCGCACGAGACTGGCCATCGATGAGCACGGTGTCGTCCTGGAGGCCAGTCTTGGTGACGCGCGTGTGCACGTCGTCGCCCATGACCAGCGCGGAGGCGCCGACGACGAGCCCCATCTTGTTGTACCCTGAGCCGGCACTCGGCTGCGGCAGGATGCAGCAGGGCACGCGGAGGTCCAGCAGCTCACCAGGGCGCAGGTACGTGTCAAACTGCACCACCAGGCCGCGGGCGGCCTGCAGGGCAATCTCCGTGTTGAGGCCGGCCAGGTACAGAGCCATCAAGCACGCAGCAGCCCAGCAGAGCGGCTCCGAGGTGACGTCCGGCTCGAGCTTGCCCCAGCCAGCGAGGGCGCCCTTCGCCTTCGGGAAGACGCCTGGGGCACGAAGCGACACGCTGAAACGGTAGGCCAAGGCGGCCAAGGTGTAGCGGGCCGTGCTCTTGCTGCCGCCGTCGACGTAGAGCTGCTCGAAGTACTCCTCAAGGAGTGTGTCCACCAGGGGGAGGTCATTGCTCACCCAGCGGTCGGCGACGACACCCATGGCCGTGGCGAACACGGCGACGCTGGCGAGGTAGCGGGCCTGAGTGGCCGGCCGCACCTGCGAACGCCGCAGGAAGCCCGGCGAGGAGTCAGCGGGCACCTGGCGGGCCCGGGCAGCCGACGCCCGGCCTCTGCCGAGGCTTCGGCCTTGCCCGCGGCCGCGGGAGGCCGACGAAGCGGCCCCACCCCTCGGCGTCTGGCGGCCAGAGCGCGACCCACTTCCGCGGGCAGCTGGGGCACTCGAGGGACGGCTGGACGTCGACCATCTTGGCTGCACGGCGGAGCTGAGCCTCCCAGTGACCGGGCAGCAGTGGATCCCCATCTCGTCGCCAGGCTGCAGGCGGCGCCGCGCGCGCCAAGGCCCGGGCGCTGTGGCAGACTCCAGGAGGGTAGGCTCCAGCCAGGGTCGTGCGCCAGAACTGCTTGAGCCGACCCTGGCGATCACGGACCTTGACCTTCCCCTGAAGATGCTCGTGGGCATGACCTCCGAGACAACGCCTTTCAAGGATACCGAGCTCGGGGAGGTCAGACTCAATCCTGGTGGGCTTCTGGTACGGGGCTCCAAACTGACAGCAGTCATACACCACGGAGACCTTGCTATGCTCGGACAGGAACTTCTGAAGAGGCTCCCAAGAGAAGAGCCGGGATCCCCGGGGGTTCTCGAGGGACCACCTGACGCCGAACTGAACGCACAATCGAAGTAGACGAAGAGTGACATGAGCACACCGCCGACCGGCGCGTATAGCAGACGTATCGTTGGCCCCACGGCGAGCAACTGACCACGGAGTGCACGGAGTCCCGAAGTGCACGATCCAGACCTTGCGAGAGACGATCCACTGGCGAACGACGGTCTCGATGCTGGGCCGAAGCAGGTCGCCCCAACCCCCGAACTTGATGTCGATCGGAGCCGCGACCGCCAGACCGAGCTGCGCGAGAGCCCCCGTCCAGCGAGCCCCCCCCGAGAAGATCTCGAGAGCCGCCCGACGTCCACGAAGCCGAGGTACA